CACATATCAAATTCTATTGACTTGTAGAGGTTATCGCTGGTCCTGGTCACGACCATGACCAGTTAGGCACTTGCTTTAACCCTGGTGAAATATGGAGTCAATTTGGAGGTGGCAGCATGAAATGCAAAAACGGCAAAGCCCCGGGGATTAGAACCATCAACCCACCCTAGTCGTATCAATTCGAAGTCCACATCGCTACCCACCACACCATCCGTCGCTGCAAACAGCTCAACCGTGGAGATCACATACATATGAAACTTGCACTTTTCAACATGTGGCTCCCTTTTCGGCTACTGTTCACGTTATTTTCTATGCGCAGTCCACTGGCGCCTTCTACTGTGCGTACAGTAAGCGCCATTAATAAAACAAGCGACGTTTAGTGGGTTAAAACGGCAACTTTTGACAAAATCATTTTCACTCTCTTTTTTGGCATTAAGAAGACGATTTAGCGAAAAAAGGACCATAGTTCTATACTCAGTGTTCATGCCCCTATACCATGCAAAAAACCATTTTCAAAAAGCTTCCCACGCCTTGAAAGACCTTCCTTGAAAGGCCCATACTCTACGCGTCATGTAAGGCGGGTAAGAAATTAAAAACGTAATGAGTTTCCGTTCCCGTCTTGGATAAGGCACAAATAATTCGGCTTCAGAGGGGGATGAAATTAGTTCAAAAACATCATAAGGATAACGAAAAACACTGACGAATAGATATGGAATCATTCAACGGTGATCCAAGGAAATAGGAGAAGGTCGAGCTGGTCTCAGTCGAACAGCATTGAACTCTCATTTTGTGAGACGGCGTGAGAGGAGCTCAATTGACTCTACGTCAACTACTGATGCGGGATTGATACTTTAATACTTCAGCTGGGATTCGCTCAGTACCAGGTGGATCAGAAAGCTTCATTACGCCCACAGTAAAAAATCCATACTACTTATCTTTCATATTACATGTCAGAACTATTTGAAGACACTATCTGTACATAAATGATGGTGCATTATGACAGTGTGTAAAAGATATGAGAATAGCAGAAGGAAGAGTAATGTGCATTAATTTGGTGAAATCTTCTCAAGATTTATAGGAAAAGATGAGGAAGCAATAAATCCAACATGTGGGAACGGAGAGAGGGTAGTACTGTTCTCGAGGCCATGCTGTCGCATCCCTACTCGGTTTTTTTCTAAGCGATCAGAAAAGCAGGAGCGCAGTTAAGAAAGTGCCGGGACTGTCCAAGATCTTGAAGCAATTGTTCAATTGCATACTGTCTTCATTAGACAAGACAGCGTCCTTGGAGTTAGTTTTGTCAATCGGCTTTCAATTTGCCCATTAAGATACTGAAGGGCGAATTGAAAGCCAATTGACAGAACCAGCGCCAAAGACGCCGTCTTGTTCAATGAAGACAGTACGAAATTGGAAAAAAAATGAAGAGAGATGGCCTCAAAATCTAGGTCGAAAAAAGATGGTCGCAAACATTTAGTCGGTTTTTGATGAAGCATTTCATCGCTCTTCTCTCAACAACACATTGATCATCTTGGTAAAAGTGATTCCGGAAAATTGGACTCGGAAAAAACAGTTGCAGTTTTTGATCTTGTAAGTTGAGAAGTGTTGAACTAAAAAGATTTAGATAAGGTCAAGCCTTACCAAGTTAAAGTCGTAGCAGCAAAGCTGACATCTGTCATCCGAAGCGAAACCAGTGTCTTGGTCAATAGCAGGACAGTCGCACACCATCAAGTGAGGTGCGTATCTTGCGCATGGGTTTTCACATGTATTGTCCACACATATCTTCTCCATCCTGAATTTCACCCATTTCCCTCGAATAAGCAACGAAACGACGGAAATGGCTGCTCATAAGGTTAAAAATATTTTTACTATGTGATCCCCATATCAATTACACGCTGTGACTCTCCCGAATGAAGCAACACCTCAACGAAATTCAATGAAAGGAGAAATCTCATTGATCATACTGATTGTGAGTTATGAAGAGATTGATTCAAACACGCAATCCAATGTGGTTCCAGAAAACGTGACTTGAAAGGAGGTGCCCTTACTCAGTAGATCAGATCGCCATTCCTTTCAGAGAACTCCAACACTTCACAGTAGCTTCAAGTGTTGTTTAAAGGCACCGTTAATGATAAATTTACAGTACCCTTTTTTTGACGGGAATTCATAGAACTACTCTAGAATAAAGCGATAACAACGGAAAAAGCGCAAATAACGATGAACAAAAAGAAATAGAAAGGGTCAAAAAAGAGCTGGGAAGGGAGGTTGGACGAGTTTCACATTGGAAAAACGGCGGTTAAGGGAGTGTTCGGGCGAGTGCAGGAAGGCGGCGCAATGTCTGCAATAGCAGACAACACACCCAAGCAGACAAATTCGCTCCAATGCGAAAGTGATGAACGGCAATTAGATTTCGTAGTCAGCCTAGCGAGGGGCGGAGGCCTCCCGTCCCCCACTGTTCCTGCCCTTATTGTGCCCTGTCCAGACCGTTTTCCGACCTCACCCCTGCACAAATGGTATCAGAGGGGGCGTCGAATTCAAACCATGTGCAGATCTCCGAAACCATTTTTTCGTGAACAGTGCCTTTAAGTCAGGCCACTGTCACGCTATACACTTTCAGTAGCATACGCAAAAATTTCGAAGAGGAAACTATCGAAAGAGCTTTTTGCGGCATGTCGGCACAGAATATCAGGTAAGTCTCCGAGCTGACGACCTTTCGCAGTCTTTGAACCAAGCTCCCCCTCCCCCCCCCCCTCTCCAACTCCTACCAACTACTACATGAGGGTATACATATATTCCTGGTTTTTGGCTGGACGTTTTGTTAACTGCTGTTAAATCGCCATCTTTGTGAGGTATACATTCTCTTTATCTGCAGTTGTCCTATTCTCAAGCGTTTCCTTCAACGACCACATTCTCTAAAAACATAAGATCAAAGATAAATGGACTGACGTCCTTTTATTTTCGGTCATATATTATTGTAACAGTAAACCCTTCAGAATAGGGGTAATAAAAACTAATGATCAGGGGATGAATCAAAAGCACTGTGAGATTGAAGAGAGTTCAGCACTCACTTTACGAGCATTAACTGAAGCAAAAAACGATGGACATTCAAAACAACATTTACTGACATTTTTCCTCTCGTTCCATTCTCCTTCCTCTGTCCAAATTTTTCATTTCCATTTGTTTCCCCTTTTCCTGCGCTCCATCTGAATTCTCTCGAGCATTCTGTTCAAGCGAAAAAAGGCAGTGTGGACGACGATACTCACGAGCAACTTCAGCGGAGTTTCCCCCTACGCAATCGAAATTTTATCATGAAGATGTTCTTTTCATCCTTCTGCACGAGCATTCTTCGCTTATACAACACGCTCTGCACTACTGTTTATTTAGTTCTCTACCGTCCATTTCTTTCTGATACGTTAGGACATGAGTACGGAAGTATTTAGAAAATCCTTTAAATACGCGTGAGATCGACAAAATTTCATTCCGCTCGCTGTCGCATTCTTAACGGCTTATATGCAATAGCTTTTCAGCACTCACAGTACAACGTGTTGAGCCGGTCAGCCAGTATCAGCATTGAACCATCCAGCTGCAAGCTCTACATGACATAAGTTGTTTCGACCTGATGTTTTGTTAAATGCATCGTTCACGATAATTTCGGGTCATCCAGATTGTGACGAAAAATGAAAGTTCAAGTGGAGAATAGTACGACGAGGCGATTGACTGTTCCCAAAAAGATAAAAGGCTCCAAAAAGTCGTTAAAAGCGGGGATGGACGAGAATTAAACCAAAAAGAACTAGAAGGGTGTTTGGCTGAGCTATGCAATGTGTGTCGTAGTGAACAGCTGACTACACCGAGCAGAAACTCACCTTTTTCATCCTCGTAAAGGGGATAATCAGAAGAACGATCGCAACTAGCAGAAAGAATAACGGGGAATAGCAGAGCAGGAGTAAAAAATCCCTCACCATTTAGCAAACAGCATGCTAAACGCGTGGGTCCTGGTGCGAACATGCAGCCTGTATCGCCTCGACACTCGTATGACATATCATCAGTTGATGGGAGCGGACGTCGACGAATCCGGTAATGGGCTTCATATCATGCTCTATCCATTGAGCTCTTCTTCCCGACAGCGTCCTTTCTGCTGCACTTGGAGCCACAAGATAATCCTGAGGGAAATCGTGATAACCGTTGTTATCATGAACTGTGCCTTTAACTAGTGTTATATCGCTGCAGCACGCGATCCGAAAACCTCACAAGGATGACGATTCATGGACGAAACTTCGGCTCCGGACGTGGNNNCATAAGCACGGAACTTGAACCCCGTGCTTATGCTTTTCGGGCACCACGCCCCATCTCTTACACTACCGACTCAATGCCCCGCCTGGTACTGAGACAACCACCATCTTCAAAAACTCGATATAGCTTAACCGCTTTTCTTCCTCAGAGATTTAGAATATGTGAGCAGTTATTCTGTTAAAAAGCCACTATCAGTCACTACTCCGCACGTCAATCTGCTTCCAAAAACTATTATGTTGGTAACCATCTATCATATTTCAGACCAGTTGGACCACGTAAAGCGTAGGCTACAAAAACGATGCATCAAACAAAGAATAACTCAATGTGAGCCTCACCCCTCAAAAATGTGCCTATAGGATGTGATGCGTTGAGAATCTATTAGGAAATTTGAAGTTTGCTGTGCCAACTGCAAATCGGTCTCCCTTGCCTGATTTGTGTATCCATTCTGACCTCTGCCCACAATTTCTGGACGTTTCTGAACAAAATTATGAAGTTTTTTCTTACATCGCGCACATTCCGGTGAATGTTCTTCCCCTGAAAACGAAATTCGAAATTCGTGTGAGCTCATACGTGCTCTATTGATCTTACCCAAGGTCCCACTAATACCGAATTCGGCTTATTCAGGTGTTGCCAATTTTCGGGATTGTTTATGTGTACGTGTGTGCATGTGTATATGTATGTGTATGTGTGTATGTCGGGACAGTTTGACAGACAGAGAGGAACAAATTCTCTATATAAAGTTAGTAATAATAACAGCGATTCGATAGGTAGTGAATAGTGGTGATGACTTCATACAGAAACGATTCTGGAACACAATGAAGACCTTTGAACAGAACTTGATTTTGATCTTGGCCCATCGCACCTGAACACAAGTCTCGTACATCTCGAAAATTTGACAATCTTCCAACATCAACTTCAACTGTCTCTATGCTCTTTTTTCCGAATTTTTCGGAGACGTTTTGAGCAGTGTTATGGGCGTTTGATTAGCGCTACGTTTACCCCTGTGCAGACCCCGCGCACCCTAACAATTCGACCACCGTATTTCACGCCACTTCTATTGTTAGCCTTTGCCCGCTTCAGTCTGTTTTTGTTGCGAAAACGAAGGGCACATTTTATTTGAGCAGAATTTTCCTGCGACATTTTCCATTTAAAAGTATGATCCGCCCAAACTCGGGGGAAATCCGCTGATTCCGGACATGTGTAGCACACTTTAGACCGTGCTCATTTCAATTCTTTGCTGATTTCTGTTCTGTGCTGTCATGAAACTTCGCAGCAAGTACCACTTCACAGCTCCTGTTCAGCTGAAGGTAAGGGAGCAGTGCTTGCGATGGTACTGATATAGTGCTGCGAGGAGATCGAGATCATCCGATCAGAGAAACAATGAAATTCGAAGCTCAAAAGCACAGTTCACGATAAAAATGCTTACTTAATTCTTCCCTTAGGAATACTTAGTGGCCCCCATGGCTGGTAGAAAAGTCCCTCTCGCTCCCAAAAACTCGACAGTGAAGGCCCTTGAAAGTGGAGGTCCTGTTGCTGTCTTGAGTGGCTTCCCACCTCTCGATAGATGTCACGTCAGACTAGTGTCGACGCAGTCAGATTGCAAATTTTCCTTCTAGGACCCACGCACAATCAGTTGGCCGAGTGATGAGGCAATGATTTTCTTCCATTCTTTTTTCCCCTGCTATTCTTGTTGCTGCAGCGATCCCTTTTTTGATTACCTACCCAAAGAGGCTGAAAAAGCTGACCTATTTTTGTTGTAACCAATGTTTTTTGTGTACTTGTGCTTATAAACGGATGAATTTTTGCTTACCGTATTCAGTTATTTACATCAGGACCCACACGTACACAATCATGCCCTCTGCGTAGCTCGTCCAAACGTCCCACTCTTCTTCGATCTTCTGGTCTCATTCTCGTCCAGCTCCCTTTTTAACGGATGTTCGAAGCTTTTTTTGCTTCGAAAGCATCGAATTACGCAGTTCCCTCGCCTCCATCGCACTATTTTCCATCTTATCTTTCATTTTTCGTCATAATCTCGGTGCCCTTAAATTATCGTGAAATGTGCCTTAAAGGGATGCAATCACGAAGAGTCACAAAGAAAGTATGAAGGGATCGAGAAGGGTCGCTCTCGGGTTAGGGCAATGGCAGAAGATGCCGCAGATGAAGGGAAGTGGTCAAGGAAGTAACAAAAGTGACAAACGCTGCGACTCTTATCGAATAAAGAAGGATAAGAGCCAGGGAGAAGGAGAAGATATTCAGCGCAGGTATACCGCTAGCTGCCACCAGAAGATAACATTAAACAGCAGGTAGTTGGGAACTGCCTTCACGACCTCATTTGCATCGCGCAAAATTGTATGATTTACTCATATTAACAGTTGGAAACTGGAACAGGCAACTGTGGTACAAAGCTTTAGTGCTGGCATGTGATGCTTGCTATACTGAAGAGACCGAGAGACTTTGGAGGAACCAAGAAACCTTTCGTCGGAAACATTTGACTAGTAAACGAAGGAAAAGATAGGTTGCACAGGTTAGCATAGAAGGAATAACCATGGTGCTAGTGTTTTGGCATTGAATGCACGATTCTAGCCTAGGAGAAC